TAGAGAAATTTTATGTCGGAGCGGGATCTGAGCGGGAATTGGTTTACGGTGAGCGTGAGCGGAATATTAACGGCGCGCTTGCTTGGGCGGTTAGAGCGACTGAGTGGAGCGCACGTCCATAGAGCGGAAAATGTAGCGGAGCGCTTCGCTCACATGCTCTGATCAGTACCCACTGTTCGTGATTCAGCTGCACCTCCAGAAGAAGGAAGTCTCACACTTTATATTTCTTATGATTATTTGCAAATCGCCTTTCCTCTTCCATGGAAGAGAGGGGTGGGGTGAGTAGAGCTCATTATCATTTAAAGAGACATGCACCGAAATGGGTTGCTGTGAACAGAGCAGTTTTACATGACCATTGAGGAATTTTAAACAAAGTATATTACAAACATTTCATGAAGACCCTAAAGAATCATACCAACTTGTGGAAAATGGGCATCCGATGCCCCTTTAAGGAAATATATGGTTATAAGTTGTCAAATATATAGGCCTCTGGCAATACTGGAAACACTGTCATCAGTATTTTTTTTTACAATGAATTTCTGGCAACAACAGATGCAAGTTTTTTACTGTAAATGTAAAGGAATTTTTTTTACAGTGTACACTAATTACTGAACAGAAGCACATTTTGGATTATAAATGAAAGTAGTGGTCTGGATTATAATTGAATGTGTTATAGGAATTGTGTACCATATCTGTGCGAGGATGGGGGCAGGTAAACCTGACAGCAGAAAGAAATTCCTTGCCTGGTCACCTAAAGACAGAGAGAAATGGGAGGAAATTAATATGCATAAATGTATAAATATACACATGGTATGATAGATACAAACAAAACAGAACGGTTTATGTCCCCACAACTCAAAATGAATGTGGCGTTCAAAGAGTTTTATGACATTAAAATGATGTAATTGTTTTAGTATGCTAGCAAAACATTGATAACATAATTAAGAGTTACATAAACCATCTTGTCAACGAACATGCACAGGGTTTAGTGACTGCACTTGAGTGACACTGGCCTGTAGGGCAAGTGATCTGCCAGCTACAGCTTGAGCAAGAAAGGAAATTGTGTTCATATGCTATCTAACAAATCAAACCGATTTCCTTCTGTTATGACAGCTATACTGCTAAACACAAAAATGCATGTAAAGCAGCCAACTACAGTTTTTCTTTTCTTTACTATTTTTTTTAAACATTGATTATAATGATTGATTATACCACAATCTTAGACCAGTGTCAACTAATAATGCCACAGCAGACCAGATAAGCTATACTGCCCCTTTTACAACCTACCAAAAAACACACAAAGCAATGAGAGATGCGAGTTTGTGCCTCTGCCATGTTAAAAGCAGGAAAAAAAACACTTAACGACCTTTTCACCTTCCTCTAAACAGTTTTCAGCTTGATAAAAGGTAGCTATCTTCCTCTGTGCGCACACACAGAACGCCTTTATACCCTCAGTGACAAAAACAGACTCCCTCTCCATGCCTGCCTGACTGTGAGCCACTCACTGCTTCAGCCGTCCTTCAGTTGACACAAAGAGGCTCTTTCAGATCCACTGGTCAACAGGAAACCCACAAGTACCATCTCTTCAAGAGATGTCCAAAGTCCAGCTGGGACAAGCTGGTTTTACTGTTTGCGTCTTGTGATTCTGATTAGCCCTTTGGAGGTTAATTTCACATCTATCTATGATCGTACAGTGAGATCATTAAATGTTTTTGTGTACTTTGAACATTTCTTTCAATGTAATGTATGAAAAGTTTAGCTAGTTCCAGAATCATCTTCAGACTTGCAAAATGTCTGTAAAGAGAGTCCAGGGAGAAAGATGGCTTTCTATAACAGGAATCAACATGCCAAAGCTTCAGCTAAAGATTAGAATCAAACAGCATCAGCAAAGATAACAGAGAAATTACTTTTTCTATATCACATGGGAATCAACATGCCACACCCTGATCGGTTTCCTTCTGTATTTTTCTCAGTGATTCTATTAACATAACATGCTGTCAACTCACAACTGAAACGTTCACTGCATGCTTACAGGGAATCAGAATCTGAATTCTAAAACATCTGCATTGAGCAAATGTTTACACAAGCATTAGATGTTTGTTTTTTGACTAATGTAAAGGTGGGACGGTTTTACTGTGGGTCAGTGGCAAAGCCAGAGTTTGTCTGTTTCGGTGGAGGAGGTGCTGAGACTGACAATAACACTCATCAGACTGTGTTTCTTATTGTACACAGTATGAGTAAGACAGATGTGAGTCTGACTGAAGGCCACGCAAGTAAATATCCACCCATTCACAGGCAGAAAACAGGAAGTGATATGGTTTTAATAAACTGTCATGAAGAATATCCAAGGCATTTTTATTAGCATGGTGGGAAAGAGGTGTCTGCTTTTCTTTTTCAGTTTTCACTTAATTTGCTCCATCTCTCTGAGTCTTTGATTCCTACAGAGAAATAATAGGCCTAAAAATGTCTGACTACCAGAGAAGTACGACTGACTGCACTGCTGGTGGTCATTTTCAGTTGCACAGAACTCAAGGGTTTTATTCTTGCATTTCAGACATCATCAAATTCCAAAGAGTTTTCAGCAAACATCAGCACTAATGAGCGTTCTGTACTTTTCTCATAGCAAGAAAACCAGTGGTGATTACCTGTGATGAAGCCAGCAGGTGTGGGCGTCAAACTGTGGAACTGCTGGTCATGTTTGGCTCTCTCGTCCACAGATATTACCCATGTATCCGACCCCCCTGCAGAGAGAGAGAGAAGATATCAGACAAACAGCAGCATAATACTTTAATGTTTTTAACCTGCTAACATTTTTATCAAACGGACAGAACACAGCTACAGATAAATCAACTCTTACTGACGTTTGATTGCGTAAAAACATCACCGAGAAATATGTAGTCAAACTGTTGTGTTGATCAAATTAATCATCTAATTAATCAGATAGATTAAAAAATCCAAACTTTAATAATTGTTCAACAATTATCATTTTAAAACTGCTTAAATTTTAATCCATTATTTTAAAAAAATGTTATTCACCTTCTTGCCCAATTTGCAATTTGAAGGCTATGAAAACAAACATAGTGAATTTATCTGTGTACACCAAATATATATTATACATTGTATAGCATATTCATATATATGCGCTATACAATATATTAAAAAGAAACTAAATGCAAAAAAAATCCAAATATAACTTATATTTAGTGCTGTCAAATCGATTGAGATTAATCGCATCCAAAATAAAATTTAGTTTACATACGTGTGCGCACAGTGTATATTTTTGTATGTTTACTGTGTATATTTATATGTATATATAAATACACACATACATGTAATAAATATTTATATTTATGCATAAAATAAATCATATATAAATATGAATACATATACATATATGTAAATGTAAATATTTCTTAAATACATAAATGTGTGTGTGTGTATTTATATATACATAAAATATACAGTACACATACAGTATATTATATAAACATTTTATTTTGGATGCGATTAATCGTGATTAATTGATTTGACTGCACTAATTATATTCTAATACAAAAAACAACTGGATGCTTACTATTTTAAAAGAGGTTAAAATGACTGAATTAAAAGTTATTCAATTCCATTAAAGAAATCATTAAAGAAATCAGACTAAATGTTAATTTGAATGATGTAAATGTTATATTTAGTGCTGTCAATTGATAAAAAAATTTTTTTACTAATTAATTGCACATGTTTTCTGAAATTAATCACGATTAATCTCACCTAACCTAACAGTTTATCACGGTTCTTTGTCAAACAAACCATACAAGATGACAAAATATAAAATAAAAAAAGAATGGCAGACAATTCGGCCAAAGTGGGTAAAGATAAAAATTTGTTTAAAAAAATAATGACAAAGATACACATAACAATTACACATAATATACAAATAAAACAAACAGTGCTTTATTTTTCAGGTACAGTGGGTGTATTTAGCAGTAGCATTCAAGAAATTACATTAACAGATATAAAAATAAAACACTATATAGACTTCCCTGTATAAATTATACATTGATTCTTATTAAAGCAACTGTATTAAAGTTCTTCAGTCAAGAGCAGTGAGTGACTTTTCTCTTTGTGTTTTGTTGTTTTATTAACATTAAAGGAATAGTTTGCCCAAAAATGAAAATTCTGTCATCATGTACTCACTCTCAAGTTGATTTAAACCAGAGTTTCTTTCTTCTGTTTATCATAAAAGGTATTTTGAAGAACGTGGGTAACCAAGTTGCTGGTCCCCAGTGGCTTCAATAGTATTTTTTTCCTACTATCGAAGTCAATGGGGACAAAATTGTAATATTTGGGTGAACTATCCCTTTAATGACAAGCGGCAGCATGTTTAGTACTATTAGTCTGCTGTCACTTTAAGACCTGCACGCATGTAATATACAGGTGCATCTCAATAAATTAGAATGTCATGGAAAAGTTCATTTATTTCAGTAATTCAACTCAAATTGTGAAACTCGTGTATTAAATAAATTCAATGCACACAGACTGAAGTAGTTTAAGTCTTTGGTTCTTTTAATTGTGATGATTTTGGCTCACATTTAACAAAAACCCACCAATTCACTATCTCAACAAATTAGAATATGGTGACATGCCAATCAGCTAATCAACTCAAAAC